TCAAATGTGTGTTACGTTGCCTCCAGTTGCATTTTTTTGCAGAAAATATTTCTAGCCTCAGTAAAATCATGCATATGTGTATTTGTAAATTCTCCACAAATTGCAAGATAAGTACAATTTGAGCACTCAGCATTTCTTTCTTGCTGGGAACTTTTCTAAAATGCATCTTAAACTTATGTGTAGCAAAATTTTAAATGTTGATACTTTAACAGTTTTGTTCAGGAAACTGGCAAAAGTGCTGTTGCTATACTGTGGGCTTCGTACCATCTTCTGCAGGTATTTTATTAATGAATCCCAATTCTGTTAGATGTATGAAGGTGGGTTTTGAGACTCTGCTGCTGAAATTTTGCCAAATGTGATTGTTTTCTAGAAATTTTTAAGGGTGTGTTCACAATATGATGTATGACTGTTAGTGTTACTTTTGTTAGATGCTTTGAACGTTCAATTGGAAAATATTGATTGACATCAATAAAATTGGTGTAATTGTTTGCTAAACCAAGGTAATTTATACTTTATACTATTACTGTAATGGAAAGATCCTGTATAACACAACAGTGGCTTGCAGATCATGCATTTGTAGTCGATTAATTAAAATTTTGAAGCTCTTTGATTAGATTTTGTTAGACATCAGTATACTTGTATTGGCTTTGAAATTGATGTTCACAGAGCAAATATTACATCCCTCACGTTATACAATTACGCTTTGCCTAGAGAGATTTGTGTTTGAATGAGGTGTCCATTGGTTACATACTGGACCTGTCTGTTCTTAGTCCTTCATGTATGTCTCACTTTTACAGCTAGTGTTGGCACTTATTTCAAAAGGAGACAGCTATATTTATTTAAGGATGTATTGGAAAAATGCATTTTTGTTTATTTGGATAACAATTGATCTTTTACATTAATTAGATCAAAGTCTATTGTATCAGCAGCAGTGTGATAGTTGCAACACCTTGCTAACATTGAAAATTCAAGAACAAATCCTGAAATGTTTCTAATTTTTTTACATAATTGTAATTGTTTTTTACATTATTATGAATACTTGCTTTTAAAGGAGCCAACTTGGATATAGCTCACTAACTCTTCCTTTGAATATTTTTTTACCCATGCTGATTGTTGAAAAATTCTTTTCTCTTATTATGTTTGTCATCAAAGTGGTTGTCTCTGAGATCAGAGTGCTGAGGTATGACATTTCAATGCTGGCAGTTGGTCCCTCTGCTGCTTCATCAGTAACTGAACATGTTTAATCCACCAGTTACACTCAGTAGCAATATTTTAAATACTTTTAGTGCTCTGGTTAATTAATTAGTTCTGACTTTTAGTGAGTCACCGCTATTCTCAAGCTTTTAGAAGTTTTATTTAAAATGCTAATAAAGTGAGCTATATCACAATTGCATTAAAACAGATGGTGCTGTAGTTATTTTGTAAAGCTTGAAAGTTCAGAATCAGAGACTTGTCAGTTTCTAATTTTTGGAAAATTCTCAACATTGTAATTATTGTGCTTTAGATACTTTCTTGTAAGAATAATTTTGCTCCATACTGGATGGAGATCATAAATCAAGGATGTCTAATATATGCAATGGGTCGCTTTATCTGAAAAAGCTCTTAAATTAAAATTGTTGTACAGAACTGCATAAGAAACAAGACTCCCCAAGATGGTGTTTGCATCTTCATCATTGAATTCATACAAAAAGCAATATATCTAACATTTTCAAATAGATAGCACAGGTCTAAAGAAGTCAGCACTGACAGTGAATCCATTTATTTTATCACATTATTTGTTCAGCTTTTCACTCAGCTAAGGTGAACGTATTGCAGCAGCAGCTTTTTAACCTTTCTACTCTATAATTTGTGGTAAACACCACATCTCTTCCATCTCCTGATTAACTTCCTTTAGTAAATGGTGGCATGGAAACTCTTCCTAGATAGTCATCCATAATTAGTTCAGGAGTCCACTTAGTAGAAAAGTTGGAAACACCCAGTAAAATTGACAAAAAAACAGTAGCAATCTTAATAGTAATAAACAAACTTTTTTTGATTAAAAACATTCTGAGAATTGGACACTTGAACCTACCATCATCATCTTGCCTATAAATAATGACAGGTCACCATAGAATTTTAAACTTGCATCCGCTTCATTGGCAGGAAGTGCTGTCGAGTGATTGTTTGACTAGGTCACAGCGTGGTTATCGACTAATATAGCCTCAACTGAGTGAGGTTTTTACTTTCTTTCCAACTTCTGAATGGAACTTCCCAAACTGAGATTTCTGCTTGCCTTCCCACTGCTTAAATAATGCTGCTCCTGGATTGATAGTGCAGTCCAGGAAAGAGATTGAAATTGTCTAGTGCCATTCATGATCTTAAGGCTTCCCAAAACACACTGCAATGAATAAAATTACTGTGAAGTGTATTTGCTGTTGTTTTGTAGAAAGTGTAACTGCTAATTTTCATGCACTAAACTCCCCACTAATTGCAATTAAATAACTGATCCCACGACCTGCTTTAGTGAAACAAACAAAAACAGAAATCACTGGAGAAATTCAGCGGGTCTGGCAGCATCTGTGGAGAGAATACAGTTATGGGTCATTGGACTAGGAATGATAACACTGCTTTCTCTCCACATGCTGTCAGACTTGCTGAGTTTCTCCAGCTTTTGTTTAGTTCAGATCTTGAGCATCTGTCGTTCATTGTTTTATTTTCCTGCTTTAGTGACATTGGTTGAGGAATACTGATGCAGAGAACATTGTGAGAGCTTCCTTGGCGCGCGCTCGAATTTGTTTGGGATATTCTACATCCATCTGACAGTGCAGACACAGTCTTGGTTTAACATCTCATCTGAAAGACAGCACTGCTAACAGTGCTACATTGCCTTCAATGCTGACTGAGATTATATGCTAAACTTTCTAGTACAGAGCAAAAATCTATAATTATCAGATTCAGGGACAAGATTGCTGCCACTGAGCTAAGACAGATGCCTCTCACATTGAACACAATGGCAGAGTACTTGTATTACACAGATTTTCCAGTTTGGATGGGGGGCAGGAGCGGGTGGGTGGTAGCTTCTTTCTATGATCTGTTATGGTAGAAATGTGAGTTAAAGAAGGAGCAGACTGGAAACATAAATTTCAATTCCTTAGTGAACAGGGATCCAAAAATCTGTCTGTACATTGCATTGTGATATACTACCACTTTTGGATAGAAGCATTGATCTGTTTAGTCTACTCGTACAAACCACCTGCAGTGGTTTCCTGCAGTGATTCTCAAAATAATAGGCCTGCATTCATCATCTTGGAAACAATTTCCTTTGATCGAAAAAAGTGACAAATAAACCCAGTACTCTCAATGTGACCTCACCAGCTTCTTCACCACCTGCGATCACTGAACCTCTTCATGAATTGTTTCTAGTCTGTCAGCATTTACTATGACATTCCCGCTTGTACTTGAAGGTACCATTTTAGAATATTTCTTCACCTCAAGTTGTAAAGAAAGCATAAACAACACTGGTCCTGACAATGGCTACTAATAATTCTTCTGCTCTGCCTCCTTTTCCTGACCCACAAGCCTTCTTAGTCTACCTTTCAGCAACATATGAATTTACTGTAATACTTTGTGATCTTTTGTCATGGTCATTTACCTTGTTAATCAGTCTGCTAAGTAGGACAGTGTCAGATGTCTTCCTGAAATCTAGATAATGCCCATTATTTCGTCCTTATCCACTATATTTTTAGCCTTTCAAAATAATCCAGTAAATTGGCCAGACATGTCACGTACCTTCTGAATTCCATGTAGGTTTGCTGTAATTATCTGCTCTTGACAAATGATCATTTAAAGCTTTTTTTTCATCAATGTCATAAAGATGTAGACACTGTGGTGCAAAAACAATTTGCAAAGATGATATCGGGTTGAAGATTATGCCTATTTGGAAGGTTTGAACAAGCTATAGGACTCCTCTTTTTAAATAAAAAATAAGTTTGGGATAGCCTGACTGATTTTCAAGGATACAAAAGGATTTGTTAATGTAGATGTGCAGGGAGTCCAAAACCAAGATTCATAAATATGAAGCAAAGATCAATAAATCCAAAGGGAAGTTAAAAGAAACTGTCTTACGCAAAATGTGCTGAGATTGTAGAGTAATTGAGGCAACTGGTTTCATGTAAGGGCAAGCTAGATAAATAGTAAAGGATGGAATATAAGATTTGTGGTACAATGATTTGTAGTATAATGATTAAATGAAGAGGCTGGGAAGAGGTTCAGGCATAAATACTGGAATGGGCCAAACTAGGATAATTTTTTGTGTTTGTCTTGTATATTCCATATGATTCATTGTAATGAGAGCAAATGAGTAAAATAGACTGAAATTTTAATTGGGACTTGCAGAAAAGCTTATCGCTCTGAACTGCTGATAGCCTAACTTATAGAAATGTTCTAATTGATTATCTGTCTAGCTCATGAACACAGCAAGTAAGTGACACAGAAATATTTCAACTTTATGTTAGCATTGATAACACTGGGTGTTGCAATTTGCAGAAAGCCATTTGTTTATCAAGACTCTTCCATGGAGGTGAGGATCAGCATATTAATGTAGCAGGCTCAGAGCCGAATGGCCCATTGCTGCTGTTATATTTCATCATGGAAAAATATGGTAGTTATCAGCTTTGAACTTTCTTGGTATTTGAAAAACAAAAGCAATGTTAAGAAATATATCACATGGATGCTGAAGGTTGAATTCAGGCTAATACCTTACATGCAACATCATTTCAGCATTCAGATTTTTTCAGATTGTGATTATTTCCTAAATGTTTAGTTCTATAAATTACAACGCTATGGATGTAGTTTTCTGCACATTTGACATATGAATCTTTTGCTTCAGTTTGCGCGCACTCATGATTTTGAGCTCAAATTGCCACTTATGCAACTCTAAGATTTCCCGAACCATTTCTGCTCCGAAGAATCTCACAGTTTGTGCCATTGTTATTCATTCTGCTTTTCTTTTCCTGTTGCAGGGACTAATGATTCTTCTTCAGAATTTACCCACAATGCACTGGGGGAACGAGGAAATCAGTGTTCTTCTCGCAGAGGCTTACAGACTGAAATATGCGTTTGCAGATGCACCAAATCACTACAAACGATGAAAAGAGGCATGAAATTTAAATATGAAAGCGCTAATTTTTCATCTGTATCTCAATTCTTTGTTATAACTTTAACCCCATTCATTTGGACTTGGCATGTTGTATTTAATGCAGTAATTGAGTTATTTTGCTGATTTAGAAACAAAAAAAGTATCAATTTTATGTAAATTTTTCACAGCAATTATATCAAACTGCAGGCAAGCTGCCATTGCTAAAGGGTAAACTAATGATGAAGAGATAGTCAAGTTCTTTTGCTTAAAAATAAGATATTTTGAATATAATGGTATCTGAGGCTTTCCAAATATCCTTCTGAGGATTGGCTTTATTTTTATTTGCCCCTTCTTATTTTTAGTCACGATGCTTTGGAGCACAAGATTCTGCCTTAACTCAGGCCATAGCAAATATAATTGTCCCACGCAATATAGGAAGTTGAAAAAGCCTTTTGGGTTGTCAAAATTCAAGGAAACAGCCCAATCACAAAGTATTGTCATCTATACTCTTCAAAATAACTTATTTGAATCCAAAAAAGAAAACTAACTTCAGGCAGTAAGATTATAAAATCACTGTTGATTTCCTATGGCCATTTACAGAAGTTGAAATAGTGCCTGATATTAATGAAATGTATCCATAAGTGAACTATTTATGACCTCTCTATTAAAGTCTGCTATTGCTAAATATCTGAAATATTTGTCTTCAAATGAAATGTTGTTTTAAGATCAATTATGTAATATTTCTTGTATAGACTGGTTTAAGATTGAAAATTAACTAGTTTTCTATTGGAATGTTTCTTTCCAGTTACAGTGATGCTCAGTCATTCAACTGTGCTCTAATATACCAAAGACACTATCATAGCGTCTTTTCTGTGTGGCTGTCTCACATACAGGAATTATAAAATACAGTCTTTGTCATGCCATGGTCGTCTTTTGTTCTCTTTCCCCCAGGGACAACATCAGAGAGGCCTGAAGGTCTGCTTTCTGCTAACGCAATTCAGATACTTAACCATTGCAGTTAAACATTCACAGTTCAGTTCAGGAATTGTGCAGTGCTGAGGCTGTTTGTGATATACTACTTACATTATTGTAAATACTACTGTGATCTGTAACTGAAATAAACCACAGGATAAAATCTTTGGTGTGTAAAAATGGTGGTTTAACCTCACAAATTCATTGATTTTATTTTGGCATAAGTTGCTCGAATTCTCTTTTGGGGAAAAAAGTGCTGAGAATTTTGTGCAATAATTTCAGACCAGTTAACAAATGCTGGAATTTCATGTCTGCATTTAACAGATACTACAGGCAAATTTCTTTGCTATGTTCAACACATTAGCGGTATATCAATGATGCCAATTTTTTTTTTTGACAGGTATTTTAGATGGAGTTTCCACACATTGTTCCAGCTTTAGAATATTTATCCTGGGTTCCATTATGTTTCCAGTCTGCCTGTTATCAACCCAGGAAAAAAATCGATGACTGAGATGATTGATCATTTTGCTTGAGGGTGTTTGTTTTGATCTTTATATTGCATTTGTGGATCAGAAAGACCCTTTTGATTACAGTTGAACCCTTCTGCCCCAGTCCTCTCTTAAATCGATGGAAAATGTCAACAAAGTATCTTTGTTCCACAAATTTTCACCTAATGTCTTGACATGTTCCCTATCAAGCTACTGCTATTTGGAGAAATGCCTTATGGAGGTTGATGTATGTTTTTAGTAACAATTATTTTGAGATGATTACTGGCAGCTAGAATATGTTTGAAAAGCTGAAACTGTGCTCAGTCTGCAATATCAATAAGACCAATATATTTAAATTCTGAGCAAGCACAAAACAATACATAAAGACAATTTCCTTGTAATTGTTTTTAATCAATCAAAATCTGTTTAATTTTAATTTAAGGTAGGTTTGCTGAAAGGTTGCGCTCAAATGTTTACTTCCATTGTCATGCGGTAAAAATAAGCAATAATGATTTCATTTTCCAGAATAGAACATCAAAATATTGTCATACCAGGATCCCTGTTTGAGACACAAACAATTACTCATTAAAGTTCACGATCAACAACATGGCATCATCTGTGAAAGTTCAGAATGATTGAGAGATTTTCAGAAGAAGCCTTTTTTCTTAACTAATTCTAAAAAGGCTTTTCTGATAGTTTATAGTGTTTTGTTATTTATGTTTAACAATAACGTGATCAATTGTTAAAAGATTGGTGTTTCACTTCTTCAGGTGTAGGAAACTCTTGTAATGTCCTCTTTTTGGCTTCATGATTGCTTTGTAATCGGAACATGCAATTCATTTCAACAACTTTATGTTCAAAGTATCCAAATGGGCATTCATTGCTACGGCACTTTTTGCAGTATTTGGGAATTGTAAGAGTATCGGATGTGTTTCAGGTTAATCTGTGAAATGCATCTTTTTAATACTCACTGGAGTATGAATACTAAATACACCTGGTGCAGTAAAAGCAATTACAGATGTAATATTTTTACAGATATAAATGGAAAAGTGCAATTCTAAAGCACAGAGCAGCACATACTTAATCCCTTCTGAAATTGAATGTGCAAAATAGCAATCATACAGAGCTCTCAATTGTTAGAAAAAGCTATTCTTCATTATCAAAGTGAAGAATTGTTGAAAGAAGCATTTTTACACAAGTATTAAAAAGTATATCCCTGAGCAGTATCTCATTGTAAAACGTTACTGAAAACTTTACGGCAATGTTTTCTAAAACTAAGTTGCTGTTTTTGCACCAAGTAAAATATATGGTTTTTTTTGGATTAATAGACAGTTAAAAAGCTAACTTGGAAGTATGAATTCAAGGCTTCTAGCAGAATAATGATGGCACATCGTTAACGGGAACAGTGCTGTTATTTACTAGTTCTCAGATTTGGTTTATGGTGATGCTGACTTAATATGCAAATAAAAATATTCTGTGTAATTTGTGCAAATTGCAGATTCTTAAATGAGCCTTTTACATTCACGGACAACATCAACTGAACCTTGCATTTGCATTTGTCAAGAATCTGCTGCAATACAGCTGACTTAAGTTTTCTAGCACTCAAAGCAATGTTCCATTGACATACTTGTATTGCCATTTATTTGTTTCATGCAAGTATTTTGCAAATCTAAACCCTCCAAGGTCTCTGCACATTTCTTCTTCTGGCCTGTTGTGCATCCCAAATTTAATCACTCCATCATTGACAACCAAGGCTCTTGAATTTCCTGTGTTAACCTCTGCTTCTCCTCCTTTATGAATCTACTTAAGACCTACCTCTTTGGAAAGAATTTTGGTCACGAGCCAAATATCTCCTCATATTAGCTTAGATAAGGCTTCTGTAGAGCAATTTTGGACATTTTACAAACTTCAAGGTAGTGTTTAAATGCAAGTTGCTAGTGTTTAACCTACTGTACTGACTGTTAGTCTAGGTAAATTGGGATTGTGTGCATAATGTAAAAATTGATTACCAAATAGCTACAACTTCTATGTGGTGCTTTGAGTTGATGGGCATATTACGCTTCAGTGTGGAGGAGACAGAACAGTTTGCTTGGTGTCATGATCACAGAAAATAGCCTGTGAGGTTAGTTACTTCAGAGTCTAGGACTACTGAATAAATGCTCTGATCAGCCAACAAAGTCCTGTCTGCAGCTCTGTGTGTTGTCGGAATCCTGTTCCAACTTGTGTTGGGACTTTGCACAAAGCAGGAAGAAAGTTTTCTCCAACATGGAACAAGTAGTTCAATGAACTTGAGAGGGGAGCCCACCATTTAGAGAGCTTCTGGTACAGCCAGGGTTGATGTTACCCTAAACAGTTTCTTTGGGAAAAATTCTATCTTCAACTTAATCTGTTTCTTGATGAAGGTGAAGATGTTTCCTTCGGTATGGCAAAATTGTGCATTATGTAGCACAAGGTCAAGGAATGTGCTGAAGGTCTTTTGAAGAAAACCATCACATTGGATGAGATATTATTGAGATCGCACAGGCTTTTTGTCCTAGCTGCTGATAATCAGAAGAGCAACATGCTACAAAATGGAAGAAAAAAAGTGTTGCAATCAGCAGAAACTTCACATTTAAAGACTACTGCTTTGCATGAATGTTACTTGTTGGAGAATCAGGACAACATTTTGACAAAATGTTATTAGTCAACCGCATTTGTATTGCACTATATTGCAAAACAAAAGGTTTAGCATTTTGCAACTGAATAATCCTGCACCATTTATTATGTCAGTGAAGAATTTCCATCTGGATCTTGGTCTTTTATTATATCTGTTTGCAGATGTGTGATCACAGTACATTGTAAAGTGCAAACTGATTTTAAACAAAATGTAATAAATTGCAGCAATTAATTTCAGTCGTGTTTTGTAAGAGCATAATTTACAGTTACTGCCTCAGCCTGCATACTATACAGTAAATTTAAACAACCTTAATCTTTTAGTTTTCTGAACAAAATTAGTATTCACAACAATCCAAATTGTTGCGCATTGAGTCCATTATGGTGTACTTGCTTTGACGAATGCCACCACAAAATGGATGTAATATATATGTGAGTACGAGTGCTGCCATTTTCCCAAGCTCATCCAACATCAACTGAGTTTACTGAAGCAAAGTCAGTCAGAATCCTCATTTCTCATGGTTTCCAGGGACCACTACTGGAAGGTTCACTTCAGTGGATGCCACCAAGATGCCCTGTGATCTGCAATTGCCTTGGGATATTTTACTAAGTTAATTACAGTTTATAAATGTAAGTTAATTTGTTGACACCTGAGATACCTATTATGATACTGGCCACAAGCGTAGTTGTCAAGGCTAGCGCATGGTTAAATGCTCCAGACTATAATGTGGTAATAACAACTATGATCTAAATGATAGCAATTCTTTCTAATTCATCAAAAACATTGCTAGCAGTTAACAACTGTAACAGCGAATAACTACTTGCGGTGCAAGATGCATGTGTTCATCTTACCGTAGGATGCCTTGACTAACAATCTTCTGATAATTAATTTTGCAATTTGAAGGACCTCAAAATATCCTCTCAGCTTGAGCATTTTAGCATGCAAACATTGTCTGTTCTTGTATTTAGTTGTTTGTCTTCAGTGAAGTTCCTTTGCTTGGCGAAAGATTTACTTTCTAAAATTGCAGCCTTCAACATTCAATTTAGGGTTCCCCATCAGGGAATAACCAGTTCTGTGTATATATACTACAGCTGGTATTATATTCGTTTATCAGATTTTAATTATTTTTCTGAGGTTTGAATTCAATCCACTTTTTCTTTGTCTGCATTTTCTATTATTTGTTTTCCATTTTCCCTCCTTCATGAAAGTGTTACCCCTCCAGGTGATATCCTACCATCATTTTAATCTGAAGATGATGTTTGTAACAACACAACGCAACCCGACACTCTGTTTCATATATCTGTACTTTAATAAGGATCATTGGATAGTGATTAGAAGTGGAAGGCCAGACCAATTTTACCTTCTCTAAATGAATTTGCTTCATTATCTTGCAGTATATTTTCATCCCTTCATTTGTGTTTTTCATTTTCGTCAGTAATACTTATCATCAATATCATTACCAATAATAGCCATTTTGTTAATTCTCCATTTGTAAAGTAAGAAATTCTCACCCATATGTTACATCTTTGAAGTTTCCTTTTAATGAAACAGCAGCCTTATTTCATTGGCACTGGATACATTCAAACCCACAATAAATGCAGACATAAATCATTGCCACAAACTTGACTTGATACTTTAAGTGATATCTGTTCTCATAGAGCTCTGTCTCCAGCTGGTGAATATTTTACATATTATTTTACATGAAATAGTGCCAATCAAAATTTTCCAAATACTTCTATCTCCTCAAAGCAGTTCGCAAAGTCTATTTTGTTAAAGACCTTCACTTACCCCTTGTTGCATGCTATTGCTATGCCACGTTCATAAGAGATGATATTGAGTGGATGTTGATTTCTCGTTATTCGTTAGGTGTACATAATTGGGATGAACTCTGTTATTTCAAAATATTGCAATATTTATGCTTTTGCTGGTCTTCACATGCCAGCATTTTCACTATTTAACTAGCATATTATTTGGCTTTAAGTTTAATTTTACATTTGTCCAGGGTAGAATTACTAAGGGTGGGA